TCTCTCAATAATGAGCGTCAGAACCAAAAATGTCTATTTGTTTGGATTAACTCTAAATTGAGCAATCTAAGAGTTGCTAGAAAATCATAATCTTCTCCAGATGTATAAATAGAATAAAGAAAGCTGTACTTATTTTGCTTCTCATGTTAAACCCAGATTTCACATTTGAGGTAGTTTTAAAATGCAAAAACAAACACTTTAATTTAAAATTATGGATGTGTAATTATTTATCCACTAAATTGTAAATCAATTATTTATTCATTAAAAAGCATGATGTCTGTTTTGATGACATCTTAATGCAACACATCAAAAACGAATTCTGTGACTGACCTGTTGCATGGAAAATATTCAATACGCCTAAAAGCTTAAACAGTTCTGGTAAATAACCCAATGAGATCTGAAAAGGATGTAAATTTTACCTAACAATAAAATATGGCTTTCCAGTTTAAAATAAAATTTGATTTATAAGCTGTCCACAAGAATTCATTTCAAATCAAAATAAAATACATATCGAGTGAAATACAAGACTGACTACCTTCTCTACAGTTTTCAACCACAAATACTGCTCTTCATATTAAAGTGTTAGGTAACAAAAAGTTATCATTTTAATATTAAGAAAAAATGAGGCTCCTCCCAACATTATTACAAAAGAGGCAGTTAAAAAAAGGGGGCAAGTCACTCCAATTTTAAACCCAGCCTATAAACTGAATAAAATTTACACAGCAATATCTCAAATAGTATGTCTTGTTACTCTGCCAATCAACACAAAAAACTTTATTGCAAAATAAAAATGTTATACTCAATATTAAAAAGCCTTGCACAATACAAATATTTAACATTCATTCTAAGAAATGACAAGGAATGTTCCTGATCACTCTGAATATCTGAGATGTAAACATATTCACTTAAAACAAAAGCTTTAAACTGAACAAACAATTGAGCACCTACTATCTGCTAAGAATGACTCCCTTGGATACAGACACTATTATATATTATTAAAATACCTTTTAAAAATAAACATAACATTTCTTAAGATTCCATACTAATATTCTTTAAGCAGTTTTTTGATAGCTCTTCAAAGTTCTGTTGATTTTATTCAATACTTTAAACACACAGTGATAGTACATATTTTGTATCCCAGCAGTAATTTCCAGAAAAGAAGAGCTATTAGAGTAATACACTTTAAAAAATAAAACCATACGCCTCTGTAGGAGTTTAAAGCATTAAAAAGGGTATACTATTCTTAGAAATCAACTTAATAAATTACAATTTCACTAAGACCACCATGGTATGTACTGAGACTTTTTCCTAACTTATTAATTGGCTCTTTGCCTCCCTTTTTCATTTTTAGAGTCAAGAATTCCTAGGGCTTACTGTAGTATATAGGGTAAAAATTCTCTGGTTGGAAGCTGTGAGGAAAATAGACAAGGCAAAATTGTAGAAGAGTTATCAGAGAGACCTAAAGAGTTGAAGAGAAATGAGAAGCCCTGTAAAGGTTCTAAACTTAAATTGAGACCAAAGGGATCCTATAACTTATACTGACAACAAAAAAGAAACATGATCAAAACACAGTCTCTAAAAATAAAATTTGCTCTCCAATTATGTTATGATTTTCTACAGATCCATTTAAACAGATAAACAACTAATCTCTCAAACTTAGCCACCCTAAGAACAAAGACCATTTGACTAGCTTTGCCCCAAGGGCCAAATGTTTCAAAACTCTCTTTGAACAAAAATTATGCCTCACCTTTTAATAAATTTGCCTTGACAATGCAAAACACACATAGTCAACTGGAGTACACAAGAACCAAAAGCAAACATTTACAACCATGTTTTTTATAAAGGGCAATATACAAACAAATAAATAAAAAGCCAGACTCATTTTATAGGGACCAGAAACATATCAAAAGAAAACAAAAAGAAACAAACCTCAAAGCAATGAAACAGGCCAGTATGAAGAAAGCGCATACAAGTGAAGGCATCTTTTCTCATAATTTCCAACTTTGTATTGTTTCTTTGAAGCCAAATAAATCCAAATGCCTTATATGTCTAGACTTGATCAAGGTCAAGATCAACAAAAACACATGTATAGACAGCATTCCCTCCTATGACTACATAAACGAAGTTTTCCTGGGAGTATACTTATTTCCTACATTAGGTAGTAAGTTTAAAGTACCAACCCTCTGATCTTAACCCACCGATCTTAATCACTTAGTCTATAAATGTGCAATCTTTACACAGCAGTTGAGGATCTGAATGAAATGCTCACTCAGAACATAATACAAGTGAGTAATGACCCCAAATCCCTACACAAACCCTCCCACTACCCACAAACATTTCATCTTAAAACATTTCAAAGATTTTAAGCAAGGCAGTGTGTTCAGTCTTCCATGATGAAACTGCCTAAGCTAATTTCTACTATTTTGTAAATTAGAAATTATCAGTCTAATTCACACAAGCTTCATAAATTCTCTTATTTCACTGTAAATATTTTAGAGCAGAATTTACAAAGGAATAAGAGAATCATTAGAGAGTGGATCCTCTCCAACCTCTTTAAGCAGTACTGGATTGAAAGGCACTCATCTTCCAGTTGCTCCACAATCAGAATGGTCACTAAATACCATTAATAACCCACTCATATCTCATTGCTTACTTCAAGCCAAAAAAGATCGACCTCCCACTAGACAGATGAATTCTAATCATTCACACTTTTAAAGTTAAGTGACATCATTTCGTTTTCTGCCCAGATTCAAGGCCCTATTATGATATGGTTTTTATTTAAAGTCCCACTAAAACAGACTAAATTTCACATCCCATAGCGAGTAAATAAATGGACATGTTTGGCAAGGAACAATATCAAGAGCTAGAGCTTTACTTTTTTACTTACATAATTGTGACAGTATGTTATAACACAATTACAAGGCAGCAAGGCACAGAGCTCTGCTTTATCAAACACACAACCCTAGGAATTACAAAATTCCTAAGGAACGCCTAAATATTTGGGGAAAATGGATGCAAAATATGATAGTGAAAAGAACAAGCATCTCCACACCCAGTGAAGTAACAGGTTTAGGCTTGTTTGTACAGCTCCCTAAAAATTAATTTGAAAGAGTACAAAAACCAAAATTCACAAAATTGTTCAAAAGTTCAATGAGAAACGTTCTACTGTAGATTAAAACATCGATTCTTACAAAATAGGCTGTACTTGCACACTAAATATTTTAATTTACTTTAGCTTATTGAATGAAAAACGCTTGGATTAAACCAAACAAAAACTATTATTTGCCCCCTGATAATTTTTTTATATGTAAGAGCACCTGACCTCACTGCTGAAATTTCTAAATAAAAACACCTGAGTGCTTTTTAGTTTTTGAAACGTGGTGTCATTTCACTTGTCTCTCAGGAGAAACCCATAAAACTAATCAACTAAAACACAGCATTGCAATTTGCAGTAAAATCGACACATCTTTGTAAACGGTTTGGGGAGGTGAAAAAAGGCCCAGCCTTTTCATGTAAACATAATAAGCCTGTAATATGCTGCAGACAAACGCACTGCAAGGGGTGTGGAGGACCCGAGCTGATTAGATTACCACAACATCAGCCTGGGGCCGCCATTTTTAGAATCTGTAAAGGACAAAAGAGGGAAATTTCACTTTTTACCGGCCATCTAGGAAATTAAAGGAAAAAAACTGTTTTCCAATTAGGTATTGATGTCTCCAGCCTAGAGCTGAATGCACTGCACTTAATTCTCTCCAAGGTCTCCAGAACTCCGAACACCTTACGTTATTCACATCTCTAAAAGGTGAGGGGAAACGGGCAAAACGGGGCTTACTCTAAAGCTAACTACAGCGATTTCCCCCTTGACTTTAAACTGTGTCGTTCGTAAGACACAGTCCAGCAAGAATGCATCTCTAAGGAGCTAAGGCCGGTGGAGAGAGCCCTCCGGATTGTTTGCTCTCTCCTCCTCCCCTCTTCAGCACAGTGAACCGTTTGTTTCTCTTCTGTGTCTGCTGCCACAGTGTTTGTGCCAATCCCTTGGTCAAAATCAGCTTTCCTGAAATGTGCCATATTGTGGCTTCTAAGCCTCCGCTACAGTAAAGGGTGACGATAATGCAAGCGGGGAGGGGGCGGGGGGCAGCCTGAGACGGCTGGGTGCTGGGGTGACCACCTCAGGGGCGGGTTTACCCTCTCCCGGAGAGGATGAGGAGCTGACTCGTTCTCCCACAAAGGGATATACCCAAGGCGTTCTTTCCACCCCCTTCGTATTTACGAGAAAATTAAACCAGAGACTGCCGGGCGACAAATGGAAGCAGCAGAAAAAAATGGGGCCTATACGGGTTCCCAGCACCTGAACAAGATGCGGTAGAGGAAAGGGAGAGAGCTGGCAGCTCCTGGGACCACTTCGACACAAACCCTACTAACAGTCACAAACCTACCTCCTTACCCAAGCGGCTCTAACCCGCTGCCGGCGACGAGTGCGCCCCCTCCCTAACTCCCACTCTCAAGGGGGTTTAACTGCCAGTTTCCCCTTCCCCAACCCTAAAACCCGCCATAATGCTCCCTTCCTAGCGAAAAGGAGGAAAAAGGATATATTCGAATCAAACAAGCAACGTCTAGCCCCCACCAAGACACCTGAGTCAACGTCGACTCCCCCACACCGTAAGGATAAAGATGAGAAAGCCCCCTCCCCCTGGCAACACACGTCCCTCCACCCCGCAAACCCCAGGAACTCCCAAGGAGACGACAGGCACTGACCTGTGATGTTCACACACCAGACACCCGAACCCCGTTATTTGCTCGACCCCCAAGGAGTCTCTCCACACCTCCGCGGTCAGACGATCCCCCGACAGCAGCCACTGCAGACACAGGAGCCGGCTCCACACACCCCCTCCCCAAACAGCAGCGCTCAGCCTCTTCGCCAGCAACCGAGGAGTAGGGGAGGGGGCACAGAGACAGTCAGCAGGAACGCAGAGGCTACGGCGAGGCTGCTCAGAGTGTCTATGCCCCCTCTATTTGCCGCTTCCGAACTCAGGTACCGTCTCCGACTCGGCCCCCTGCGCCCGCTCAGTGTCACTGCCTCTCGCTCTGGGAAAATGGCGGCTGACGGCGGCGGCCGCGGCGGCGGCGGCGGCCGCGGCGGCGGCAAGTGCACGGGGCCCGCCCGCCCCGCTCCGCAGGGGCAGAGGGGGAGGGGACGAAGCTGCCCGCCGCCATTTTGCTTATGGGCTGCCGCCCGTCGTTGCCTCTCCACGGAGGCTCGAAGACAGCCAACTGGAGGCAGAGCGGTCGACAGAATCTCCGTCTATTTCACAACAGATGCATTCAACAATTCACCGAAGGTTTGGGAAAGTTTCGGTATTTGACGGGATTGGTTCTTTATCCCCTTTCCCTGAGTAGCCCTCAAGTCTGGATATGGGTGAGCTTGGGCGCGACACTACTGGGTGGAAGGATGATGATTGTAGGCCTGGTAAAGACCCCCACCCTCCCCGCAAGCACTTTCTCCCACTCCCAAAACCACCTCTGTCCTGTTCTTTCCTCCCCCCCTCCCTCCCCCCCCCCAAGTCTGGCCTCCGGAGCGGGGTGAACTCGGTTAAGGTGTCACTCGACGCCCACTAGGGGCTGAGGCGGCTTCAGTGCGCAGGCTCCGAGCACCGGATAAAAGCGGAGCTGTTGAGTCCAGCGCCGTCTCGATGGAGGAGCGAGAAACGGAAGAGGTCGGGGGGAGAAGCAACTGGAAAAACACAGCCACCGTCAGCGCCGCCTCCCTGCCACCGTGTATCGGGGTAAAAAGCTGTCGTTGCCGTCGGTGCAGTTGCCGTCGCTACATCCTACTTCTTTGGCCCGGGGAACGATTTCCCCGCCGCGGGATAATGTGCGGGGAGGGGATCGGGAATTCGTTTAGATGGCAGTTGACTAAACGGGGGAGGGTCAGACAGACGGTTATCGAAGAACAAAAAGGAAGGCCAAAGAATAAAGGGTTTCCCCAGTAAAATGACACGGTGATTGCGGTTCCTGTTTTCGGGGTCTTTCCCCGAAATGGCGGTTTCCGTCTTCTTGCTCCACAGCGACCCGGAGCGCTCGGTAAGCGGGGTGGGGAGAGGCAGAGGTGGTCCATGCAGCCAATCAGTGTCTGATGTGTTCTCTCGAGCGCGTCCTGATTGGCTAGCAGTGACCTCATGCTGCAGCAGCGGGTGGGGCCAGAGCCGTAGGGGGAGGCTGTTGCAAAGGCCGAGAGGGAGAGTGACGATGGTGTTCGTTGCTGCCGCGGCCGATTCGGAACACAAGCCGTGGCGAAGGGAATCTAAAGGCTCTTCCTTGACTATTTTCTCCTGTCCCTGCGCGAGGTGAGGGCCCCGGCTCGGCCTCTGCGAAACTTTGGGGCGCTGGCGCGGATGAGGAAACAAATTCTCCCGTGACTTTAGTAACTGCGTCAGGGCAAGATGGCGCTGGGTCTCCTTGGGGCGCGGGGGGAGAGGCACGTCCACCGTCGCCGCAGCGCATGTGACCGGGCTGCATTCCTGTGGGGTTTGGCTCAGACCCAGACGGGGGCGGGGGAGGGGAAAGGGCTGGGGCGGAGTAGTCTGTGGTGCGGCCGGCGGCGGCGGCCTGAAGAGGAAGAGTTGACTGAGGGCGCTTCCCCTCCCCCATACTGCTTAACAGTTGCGGCTCGCTGGGGAAAGCCCCCCGAGGGACGCTCCCGATGGGGCTGTGACGGCTGTTGGTGAAAGGAAGGGCTTGTCGCCCTATTTCTTATCTGCCTTTCTCCTTACGAAGTATACTTACGTAAGGTAGCAGGTACCTAATGTGGTAGCTGGAATCATCCACGAGTCGGGAAAGGCCACTGGACTGAGTAAAGAGTCTAGCTGCTGGGCCACAGCGCCGAGGAATATCGATTAATTTCTGAGAAAACTTAAGTCTCCAGATTCGAATAGCAAAGTAATCTTTTAAGTTTGGAATGAAGTGTAAAAAGCGTGATGATCATATCCAGGAACACTTGTAATTTCCTGAACGTTAAAAAGAAATCAAGTAGTATACCATCTGAAGTTTGAGGGCCCTTTTCAAACTTGTCGCTTCTATCTGTATTTACTTTCTTCCCGTTTTCTCCCTGTCTGTATATCCTACAAGAATGTGAAATCCTATCTGAATTTTTTTTTAATTCAGACGTGATTAAGTAATACAGAATAAAAACTCCTAGTATTGTAATACACATGAAGTAAGGGTGTTTTCAGTATTCCTGGTCTGTTGTTTTTCTGTTCTCTTAACTGTGGTTTTTAAAAATAAAAATGAAATTGTAATCATTTTTGGTAACTGTTATTCATTAAGATTCCTGCACCATTATGAAATATTAAAACTTGCCTCTTTAAATCACTTTTGTATAAGTAAGAATTTTAATTTTAGTATTTGAAACTTTGCTAGATGAAGATTTCCAGCAGCTCAAAAGTTCTTATGGTCAATATTAGCAGATTAAGTAGGGAAGTCTAATTTTATTTTTTTATTGTTCCCACTTGCCAAAGTAGTATAGCAGCCATTAACTGAACTAGAGAAGAAAAAGGGCTTCTCACCTTGGGTGGTGTTGAGTGAGAGCTGGAAGTTATTCAAAGACTTTTCCATCTAAAACCTGACTTGCTTTTTTACTGAATACCTATATTTGGTGCTGTGAGAATGTTTGTTGGTCCTACAAAGAGAAGTTTAACCTGGAACCAAGGTTGAGCTATTTCCTTGGTGTTAGTTGTAGACTTGGTAGTTTGAAAACAAAATAGAATTTTTAATGCTTTAGTACAAAGATTTTAAAATTAAACTTTTTTGTCCACTCTATAAATTGGGCTTTTTTCCCTATAAGAATTCTTGAGTAATTTCAGGGCTCTATATTACATATAAGTAAATGTCTCATTCCCCTTAAAGGAATTTTCTTCTGGCTTAGAAAAGAGGGACTAAATATGAAGTCAGTAGATTTAAATGTAATTTTCAAAATGTTATAACTTCACTGTGCCTTAATAAGGAAAACAGGCCATATTGCAAGCTAATGGAACCAAATCCTTGTGCTTTTAATCCGTTTGTGTCCTCACTGTTCCTGATTGCCAAATCCATGAACATATTTAGCTCTTATTTTTCTTTACTTTCCTGTGACTCTTGAAATAGTACTTGCAGTTACTTGTCTTTGTCTACCTTCTTGGATTTTATGTTCTCCCTCGACAATTTGTTGTGCCCATTCTCTAATTAAACATCCAAATTTTCATCTCAGAGCTGCAGATGCAGTGTTCAGGTTTACCAAGGGCCACAGGCTTCCTTAGGGTTGCAAATAGTTCCACACAACTTACTGACTGAACAACAGGCTTCCTGAGCTCATTAAAAAAAAAAAAAAAACTAGGTACTTGATCCCAAACTGTAGCTTTCAGACTAAATCAACAAGCCAAAAACAAAAAGCCCTCTTTTGGCCCTCAGAGTTTGAGTAGAGGTTAAGGGCTGATGATGCTCAGCAGCAAGGTTTTCTCCCCTTTCATGTGTGATATGGGGAGGGGAGGCTGCTAATGGGACAGAGATAGTGCTGCCCCCACAAAGATGGGAAAACAGCAAATGGCCTTAGTATTTTTTAACGTTCATATTTCTCACCTATTAATGGACATTTTAACCTACAAACTTCAACGATATCTGAACACCAGAAATTATTTGGGTTTTATAGTCCCTTGATGTATTTGGGGCTTATCATGTAGTACTGCTTGCTCTGATATAGACAACCCAGTAAGTACTGCCCTTGTGTTTTTGTCACTTGTCATTTTATGTGTTACTGTGTCAGCCACCAGCAGCTACATGTGTTTTATGTATTATAAGGTTGGCATTCCAATAATAGGGCTTATTAAAATGGTATGTAAAATGAAGCCCTGAAGGAAATCAAATTTGAGCTTTTAGCATAAACACTGATAACCCTTCTGTCTTAAAGCTTTTGGGGGGATTTTTGAATAGTCACTGTCTGTTAACTTTATTTTTTGACATTTGCTGAAACTAAATTCATAGTAAAAAAAAATCATCTTAATTACATGTGACTTTCAGTGGATTTTGTTTTTATATAAAACTCCTCTGTTTCACCTCTGGTTTTAATGGCCTTTAAATGCAGAATGAAAAGATTTATATCTGAGAACTGAGTTGAAACCATTAAATAACCTTAAAATATTATAGTTGAACAACATACACAGTTTGCTTAGTTTAACTTCCTGGGGGTGGGTGGGCACAGATTAAGCGCTATCTTATTCTCCCTGGGCAAGGTGTTTGTGTTAACACTAAAATTCGTATTTGCAAGTGTTGGTCAAAAAAACTTTCCAGGGTTGTGGATACCTTAGGTCAAATTGATGTTTTTCTCTTAAGGGGAGTTAATAAGTTTGTTCCTCTATCTAAAAGAAAGTTACCTGCTCTCGGCTATTGAAAAAGATCAGGTCCATAGTCTCTTCCTTGTTGACTTGTTTATGTTTAGTTCAAGTTTGAAACATCTGTAAAGACGGGATTTCACCTGGAAACTAGAAAAATCGTGTTCTTTTATCTACATGAGGCAAATAGGAAATAGCAAAAACTTACAGACCCCACCTTCTCTGAATGATTTAGGAAAAGTATTTTATGCCTTTTTTTAATGCCATTTTTTTCTTCAGTGCTTATGTTTGCTATAAATTCTGCTTGCTTCAGTGTTGATCTTGCACTTATATTTCTTACAAAATAAAACTGGGTTTGGGGTATTTTTGTTTTTCCTTTATTATATGCATACAACTTAACAGAAAAGGACATTGTCAACATTGTGTTTCTGAGGTACAGAATATACCTTCAGTAAACAATCTTTTATATGGTGCTGGTTCTATTAAAAGTAATTTGGTTATGGACCCGGGGTAAATGGTATTTCATACAACTGAAAATTAAGCCAAGGTATATTATGTGATAATTTATTTATAGGGATTATATCACTTTAATATATTTTATCCTCAAAAGTATTTATTTTTAAAGGTGATGGTAGTTTAGTCACTAAGTTGTGTCTGACTCTTGTGACTCCATGGATTCACATGGACTTGTCAGGCTCCTCTGTCCATGGGATTTCCCAGCAAGAATACTGGAGTGGGTTGCCATTTCCTTCTCCAGGGGATCTTCATTACCCAGTGATCAACCCAGGTCTCTTGCATTGCGGGTGGATGCTTTACCAGATGAGCCACCAGGGAAGTACCCTCTCAAAGTAAGTTAATATTTGTATCTTAGATTTAAAACCACATTATGGTTTTCTCTCTGCAATTGCTTTGTTCTTGGGACAGATTGGAACTCTAGCTCTAAATTCAATCAAATAGTTTGCATTCCTAACATATTTAGG